CCTTAAAGGAGTGTGTGGTATAGCAGCAGCTCACATCTATCCCTTTAAGCTTGATCTGTAAAATGAGACACCACCCGCGGTAGCATACTCGAGAGCAGCAGTCACCAACATTTTTGACACCAGGGACCGGTTTCATGGAAGACAGTTTTTCCACTGACCGGGGTTATGGGGGTGTGGGCAGGGGGATGGTTTCAGGATGATTCAAGTACATTACATTTATTGTGTACTTTATTTCTATTATTATTACATTCTAATGTATAATAAAATAATTATATAATTCACCATAGTGGAGAATGAGTGGGAGCCCTGAGCTTGTGTTCCTGCAACTAGACTGTCCCATTTGGGGGTGATGGGAGCCAGTGACAGATCATTAGGCATTAGATTCTCATAAGGAACATGCAGCCTAGCTCCCTTGCACGCACAGTTCACAGTAGGGTTCGTGCTCCTATAAGAGTCTAATGCTGCCCCTGATCTGACAGGAGGCAGAGCTCAGGAAGAGCTAATGCTCTGTCCTCCTGCCACTCACCTCCTGCTTTGTGGTCCAGTTCCTAGCAGACCACATACCAGTACCAGTACGTGGCCCAGGAGTTGGGACCCCTGCTCTAGAAGATAATGTGAAGATTTCTGAATTTCTGCTCACAAAATGAAGCATCTTGAGAGAAAAAAAGAACAAATCACTCTTGTCATCATTATTGGTTTATGTTATATCAAGGATTAAGACTTTCATATGGGCCAAGTGGCTTATACTTTTAATTCCAGCACTTTGGGAGGCTGAGGCAGGTGGATTGAGCTCAGAAGTTTGAAGCCTGGGCAATATGGAGAAACCATGTCTCTACCAAAAATACAAAAAAATTAGCATGGTGTGGTGGCACACACCTATAGTCTCGGCTACTCAGGAGGCTGAGGCAGGAGGATTGCTTGAGGCCAAGACGTCAAGGCTGCAGTGAGCTGTGATTGTGCCACTGCACTCCAGCCTGGGTGACACAGCAAGACACTGTCTCAAAAAAAAAAAAAAAAGTCTCATATGCGATGTTTACTATTATCATGTAGAGGACCAAGCTATTGTTTTGTGATTGGAAGCCCTTTCAAGTACGTGAAATTAATTATAGACAATTTAAAGTATATTTCTTGATTACATTTTTAAAGAATTACCTGACATCAAACTTTGTTTTTTCTATGTGTCATCAATGTTATAAATTTTCCAATGTAAAGTAGACAAAACAGAAAAATCTCCTTTAAATCCTTGTACCACTTTGCAAATTTTCTGATATGGCATGTTTTTGTAGTGCCATGGGCAAAACTCCATTTAAGGAAGCCATGGCTCTTGCCCTCTTACCTCATCTGTCCTGAAATAAATCTGCAAGTCAGCTTGCTTTTGTGCTTTAGGGATTGTGTTCGTTGTTCAGAAGTCACAAACCCTAGGTGCTGTACCTCCTTCCAGCTCATTTTCCATTTGATCTTGTGCAAGTCAGTTAATCGATTTTGCCCTTCTGTGGGAAAAAGTATAATAATTATAGGAAATCTTAACTAGTTTTTCTTGCTAGGACCCAAAGGGTAGTTGCAATTGAGTGGTGTATTAGTAACCAGAGTCTTTCCTTGGTTTTGCTTCTGCAGAAATTCATGTGCATTAGCCACCAGAGGGATTGTTCTTTGCTAATTTGACTCACTTAGTTATTTAATTAATTTAGTTCATCCTAATTAAACTTGCTTTCAAGCCAAAAGCATAGTTGTCTTACTTATTATAAGAAATATACCTGCGGAACGGGCTAGAATTTGCTGATGACTGGTCAGTGCATTTTCCCTGAAATGCAGGGCAGTCTGTTAAGAAACAGAATATAGATGCAAAGGTCAAGACAAAAGAATTGGGTAGTTTAATGACATCATTACAGTATGGTATTAACCAAGAAAGGCAAGTTGCTGAAAGGTCTTTCCATCAAACTCATCAGAAGCCTTAGAATCATTCTTTGGAAGCTTTTAAATATGTTAAAGGATTCTAGTGACTCATCTCACTTTATGAAAGTGCTGGAAAAAAAATAGGGTTAGGTCAGGTACCAGTTATAACAATTAAGATTTATTAAGGAAGATTCTGAACTATACCGAGACTTACTTTTTTTTCCAGAGATTTTATTATGAAATTTTTCAAACATAAAGAAAAGTAAAAGGAATCATACAGTGAACATTTGTATACATGCCACCCAGATTCTACTGCTGACATTTTATTGCACTCTCATATTTGTTTATCCATCCTTCCATCAATCTCTTCTTTTTATACATTTCTAAGTAAGTTGCAGACACTAGCATACATTTAACTTTTTAGCTTGACATTTTTAAACATTTGAAGTCTCATATACTCATTACTCAGATTCACCCAACTGGCTACATTTCATTAGTCTTGGTTAATCTCTTTCTCTAACCCTTTTTTTCTTGAGTAGTTTAAAACAGACAACATATCATTTCACCCACAAATACTTATACTGCTAACATATAAGGATGTAAAATATTATTGTTTAACATAACAAAATTATTCAGTTTATCTAATACCTAATCCTTGTCAGTTTACCTTGCTTATCTCAAAAAATGTGGTTTTTTTTTTTACATTTGTTTTGTTTGAGTCAGAGTTCAAATAAGGCCCACATATTACAATTGGCTATGTCTCTGAAATCTCTTTTAATTTTGTAACATTCCTTCCCTCTGTTTTTTTATACTATTGATTTGTTGAAGGAATTGGGTCATTTATCCGGGAGAATTTACATTCTTTATTTGGTTGGTATGTTTAACCAGTTCCTCTTTACTCTTTATTACCTGTAAACTGGTGGTTAAATCCAAATATGTGATTAAGTTCCAGGCCAGTTATTTTGGCAAGAAAATGTCATGGGTGGTGCTTGTACTTGAAACTGGGCAGCTCATGATACTTGGTCACCCCATGGTTAGTGATACTGAGACCGATCTGTAGGTTCAAATGTTGGAAGGTTGATGACGTCAGTACAGAAGTTTACTATTATATAATTTTTATAAAATTATGACTATTTCCTAGACAAATTCATTAATTTGGACTTACAAAATGGTGACTTTTCTAATTTGATTATTTCTTCTGCATTTATTGGAAGAACTTTACCTTATAAACTACTTGGTGACTCTGAAATGCATTTATTTGACCACAAAAGTGGGAGAAATGCTTAATTCTATTTCTTTACCAATTTGCAGAATAATGAATTGTTGCCCTACCAGCCTCCAAAGGTTTTAAAGCTTATTTTTATTTTGTCTTTATTGTGGTTTAAAAAAATGTAAAATTAACCATCTTAACCATTTTGAACTGTACAGTTCAGTAGTGTTAAATATCTTTACTTTGCTGTACAGCAGATCTCCAGAATGTTTTCATCTTATAAAGTGGACAATCTGGCCGGGCGCGGTGGCTCAAGCCTGTAATCCCAGCACTTTGGGAGGCCGAGGCGGGTGGATCACGAGGTCAAGAGATCGAGACCATCCTGGTCAACATGGTGAAACCCCGTCTCTACTAAAAATACAAAAAATCAGCTGGGCATGGTGGCGCGTGCCTGTAATCCCAGCTACTCAGGAGGCTGAGGCAGGAGAATTGCCTGAACCCAGGAGGCGGAGGTTGCGGTGAGCCGAGATCGTGCCATTGCACTCCAGCCTGGGTAACAAGAGCGAAACTCTGTCTCAAAAAAAATAAAAATAAAAATAAAAAATAAATAAAGTGGACAATCTGTACCCATTAAACAACTCCCCATTTTTCCTTCCCCCAGGCCCTAGCACCCACTATTCAACTTCTGTCTTTATGAATTTGACTATTCTAGGTACTTCATGTAAGTGGGATCATACAGTATTTGTCCTTTTCTGACTGATTTATTTCACGTAGCATAATGTCCTTGAGATTCAGCTATGTTGTAGTATGTGACAGGATTCCCTTCCTTTTAAGGCTGAATCAAAAGATTTTTATTTTTATTTTTTTAAATTTTGTTTATGTATTTTTAGATGAACTCATGGATTTTTATGTATTCCCTATATTTCAGTCCATTACAGTTATTGCTGTTTAAATTGTCCCACCTTTGACAGTGGGAGCTTCCTCAAGATACCCCCTCCCCATCTTCAGTTCTTTTGACACAGCTTGGAGAGCTTCCTTACTTTCTGATACAACAAGAAGTTTCAGATTCATCTTGTGCATTTCTTGCCCCAGCCCTGAGTAGGGCATTTCTTTAAAGAACTCTGGTTCCTTTTAGTATATAAATACCCCAACCTGGGCAGCAACATAGGCTTACTTTTTAACTCTTTCCTAATATCTTAATTTTTAAAATATTGTAAGTAGACCATGGTAAGAGTGTAACAACAACTGCTGTTGAGATGAAGATGTGATCTGTTTCTCTTAACTACATGTCGGAGACTGATCATCTCTGCAGTGATTCAAAACCGCTGTTGTACTTTAGAATCACCCTGTGAGCCTTAAAAACCCCACGGACCAGGCTGGGCGTGATGGCTCACACCTATAATCTCAGCACTTTGGGAGGCCGAGGCAGGTAGATTGCTTGAGTCCAGGAGTTTAAGACAAGCCTGGGCAATATGGTGAACGCCTGCCTCTACTAAAAATGTAAAAATTAGTCAGTCTCATAACCCAGTCTCTAAATAAATAGATGAAAATTTAAAAATAAAATTTTTTTAAAAAAATCCCACTGGCAGGCCACACCCCAGACCAATTTTACTGGACTCTGTAGGGGTGGCGCCAGGCACCCAGATTGTGCAAAGCTCCTCAGGTTGTTCTGTGTGCAGCAAAAGTTGAGAATACTCATTTAGCAATGAAATAATAACCAAAATTTTTAAAAGTTTTAAAAAAAAACGATACTTATACTCAAAACTCCCTTAGTCCAGAATATGTTGAGTTCCAGACTTTTCTGGATAAACTTTCTTCTACTAACATAATTGAGGCCTTTAAAAATGTGGGAATCGTATAACAAATCTATAGTGAGTGTCCTGTTTCTATTTTATAGACCTGGACAAGCACCAGACTTAAGCAGACCGAGAGCACAGGTGGGTCAGCATGTTGCCACCTTGAAAGAACATGATAATTCTCTCAAAGAAGAGGTAAGTAGCTAAACTATCTGAAGTTTTCCCAATCGCAGATGTGGACCAGAGGGAAAGGTTAGTAATTTTTACTTAAAAAAAAAATACGTCTCCAGATGTGCAAGTTACTAATTTGAGGAAATGTTATATTTGGAAAAAAAAAAAAAAAAAGAAAAGTAGTGAGTGAGGTTTTGTGGTTGGTGGGTTTTTGACTTTCTGATCTCAGGCCTTCTGCATAATGTTTTATGTAGGAATTCATTTTCCAAGAAATATCAAGGCATCTTATAACACTCTGGTTTTCCGTGTCCACTCCATACTTTAGAAATACTGTGTAGTCATTCACGTCAATTCAGCAAATATGTATTGATCCATTACTGTACACAGATATCAACCCAGATCCATTAGAGGGAAAGAGACAAATAAAATGTGGCCCCTCCTGGGGTCTGACATCATGGGATGCATGTAACAAGAAAATGGCAAAAATACGGGCTTTCAGGAAAAAGAGCCAAGATAAGACTCCTAGAGAACGCTTAAATGACAGGTTTTTGATGGTATGAGTTGCATGGGGGCAGAAGCGACAAGAAAGGGTTGCCATGAGCCAAAGAACACACTGGGGAACCCAACACATATTCAGGCAACAGAGCCATCCTGAGGCCAAAGTGTGGGCTCAAGTCTGGGGAGCACAAGAGGTAGTTTCCTGCCATGCTCTGCAGCATCCAGTGCCAGGCCAGGGAGACTGTGTTTAGTTTCGTAGCTTTTGAAAAGCCACTGGAGCTTTTTGAACAGCACTGTAATAGGATTTCTGCAGTGCCTTCATGTTTGGTTTGGGACTGAGACATTGAAGGAGAGAGCCCTGCAGTGGTTCAGGGAAGAGGAAGGAGGGTCCTGATTTGGGAGCTGGTGCCAAGAGAGAGTTTGAGGATGAACAGAAAGTGGAAATGGATGGAGCAAGTTCACAAGCAAATTGTGAAGGGAGGAACCGGAAGCCCAAGTTTAGAGCCTGTCCTTTGGCATATTCTGTCCTCATTCCCTAGAAAAGCCACACCCAGGGAAACAGCCGTTCTTCTCCTAGGTTGAACGTCTTGGGAATGTGTCTTGCTTCAAAGCATGTTTTTTCATCCTTATACATAATATAGAATTTTCTGGCTTTGATTCTTTTTAAGGTGTTTTGAAAACTATTATTACCATGCTCGTAGTTCAAGGATTATATGTCTGCACCTTCTGGAGACAAGTGTTGCTGCATCTGTCTTAAAGTCACATGCCCACGAAGCTATGCCATCTAAGCATCTAGCGTTGCCCCTCCAGACTTCCAGAGCACCTTTAGTCCGACTCAGACACCTCTTTCCTTGCCTCTCCAATTAAGAGAGTAGCAGGACTTTTGTGTTTTAGCATTTCAAACATACATATATTCAGTGATAGGACAGACCCACTAATCCCATGCCCACAACCCAATTCACATGTGTTGTTACCTTTGCACCATATTTGTTTCAGACCCCCTTCTCCTCATCGTCCACCTTTCCCTCATCTTCGAACCCCATTCCCTTCCTCCTCCTTGTGTCCTCCCCCAACTTCACCCACCTCCTCTCTCTTCTGCTCTTTCTCTCTTCTCCTCAAACTTCCTTCCCCTTCCCCTTTGCTTTAGGGGGAAGAAATAAATTATTAAAAAGATAGATACAGCCCCCTGTATGCCTCTTATAGATTTCATGCCCCTTTTCAAAGATAACCTAGATCAATTCCTTCTGTTGATGAATGTAGATCTTTTTTGTTGTTGTTTGTTTTTTCAAGACAGAGTTTTGCTCTGTTGCCCAGTCTGGAGTGCAGTGATGATCTTGGCTCACTGCAATCTCCGCCTCCTGGGTCCAAGCGATTTTCCTGCCTTAGCCATCCAAGTAGCTGGGACTACAGGCACATGCCATCATGCCTGGCTGGTTTTTTTTTTAATTTTCAGTAGAGACAGGGCTTCACCATGTTGGCCAGGCTGGTCTCAAACCCCTGACGTCAGGTGATCTGCCTCCCTTGGCCTCCCAAAGTGCTGGGATTACAGGTGTGAGCCACCATGCCCAGCCGATGAACGTAGATCTTAAGAAAGATATTGTTTTGGTTTTATTGTTCCTTTGATTTAGCACTGTCTTATAACACCATTATTTTTTATACTTGTTCACTGCAAGTATATCACATCTCAGGCATTTTAAGGGTAAAATAAGTGTTGATTGGCTGTCTTTTGCTATCTAATCTTTTTTTAATTTTATTTATTTATTTATTTATTTATTTTTTTTTTTTTGAGACGGAGTTTCACTCACGTTACCCAGGCTGGAGTGCAATGGCACGATCTCGGCTCACCGCAACCTCCGCCTCCTGGGTTCAGTCAATTCTCCTGCCTCAGCCTCCTGAGTAGCTGGGATTACAGGCACGCATCACCATGCCCAGCTAATTTTTTGTATTTTCAGTAGAGACGGGGTTTCACCATGTTGACCAGGATGGTCTCGATCTCTTGACCTCGTGATCCACCCGCCTCGGCCTCCCAAAGTGCTGGGATTACAGGCTTGAGCCACTGCGCCCGGCCTAATCTTTTTTTTTTTAATGGTATTGTTTATATTAGAAAACATGGTCCAAGTCCCAATCAATCAATCTACTCATAATTTTTCCAGTAATGAGAGGGGGTGCTGTCCAACTAATAACTAATGAATCAAATTATATTCTGCCTTCATAACAGATCTTTGTTTGTTTTTAAATCACTTTAGTGACAATCATAAAAATTACCAATACATTAATGACAAAATCTAGCCTTAAAAATGGAAGTAAACTGGTAATTTTTCATACAGTTAGGTTGTGGTTGAAGAAATGCACAACCCCAAAGAACAATATTAACAAAACGATGCAAGCAGGGCAAGCTTGTGAACTTAAGGACAAAATGCTTTTGTAAGTCCTAGAACTGTTTTGGTTTACATGTCATCCTTTTTCAATTAGTAAAATAAAGTGTCTTTGAGTGTTTCTGTGTATTGAAACCATGTACACATTTAGTAAATACTAGAGTTAAATCTCTCTCTTTAGATAAAATCTTAAAAGTAAGTGATTTTCAAAGTTTAAAAAAGCTCTACTAGAAACTACTTGGTTAAGAGTCTGATGAAGCTCAGAAATATTTACTTTGATCTCTTGGGTAAATGGCTAATTAAAAAGCCGCATGTAAATGATGTTTACCTGTGGGTCCCTGTGCTGTCAGCGAGTCAATCCCTTCTCTTGAGTAAATACATCATCAAAGCCGCAGAAACTCAGATTATGTCCCCTGGAGACCAGATAAGGTCCGCAGTGCCCGCATAACCTATTAGGCAATTACATAATTGAGCTGCATGCTTTTAAATCAGAAAAATTTGTAATTACTTTTTGTAGAGAAAAAATGAGTTGGGTGCTTCATTAAAATACAAAGTGCTTAATGTTACTATTCTCCCAATGGTATCTGTTTCTACCCTGGAGAACTTTGTCACAGCAGAGCAACTTGCTGGTGACACTCATAGAGTAGATCGGGTCCTGCCCTCACCATACACACAGACCAGTTTTATTCACCGGGAAGATGCTTTCCCCAAATGCTGGACTGTTTTCTTGTTCTTATCTCCTGCATACTCATTTGCTGGGTCATATAAATATCTTCCCAATTTAAAAAAATTGCTGCGCAGATAAAATCCCTTCATTCCCTTTAACTTAGAACTTAAGTGATGATGCTTGCAATTCTCTTTAAAGACCAAGAAATTACTTCCAGTGTCCAAAAGGAATATTCTTGAACCTTGAGGAAGAGTCAGTTAAATCTGCATATTAGGGGAAAATATCATCTGCTGTCCACATCCATGATTTTTAATTATTTTACTTTTCTGTGTCTGTGTTAGTAACACTGGTTTGCATATAGAAGGGAATTTCGTTTTATCAGGTGCGTTTGCATTCATTTTCTCTTTGTATTGGTACCACGAATAGCAGAAATTGGATTTCTTTAGAGCTAGCATATGTTTTCTTTTAAAAACAAGCATTAAAAAAATCTTGAAATAGTAAGATAAACAAAAAGAAGAAAATTGGTCATGATCCTACTATTCTGCTATTTATATATAACCCTGTTAACATCATGATGTACGGTTTCTAATATTTAATATATTTATTTGGGAGGCCAAGATGGGCGGATCACCTGAGGTCAGGCGTCGAGACCAGCCTGGGCAACATGGCAGAACTCTGTCTCTACTAAAAATAGAAAAATTAGCCAGGTATGATGGCACACACCTGTAATCCCAACTATTTGGGAGGCTGAGGCACAAGAATTGCTTGAACCTGGGAGGCAGAGGTTGCAGTGAGCCGAGATTGCGCCACTGTACTCTAGCCTAGGTGACAGAGTGAAGCTCCGTCTCAAGGAAACAAAAAAAAATTCAGCATGTTGAAAAACATAGGTTGCATTATTTGTACACATCACCTTGTTTTTTTATCCCCATATGCTGCAAGGTGAACTCTTTCAAACCATTACATGTTCTATTTACATCATTTCAAATGGCTTTCTGGAGGTCCCCTGTCTACTGTCACTTCAGTTATTTACCTGTTGTTCAACATTTGTTTCTAATTTTTCCTCTAGTAAAAAAGTTTCAAAGAGTATCTGTGCAATTCAGATTTTACAAATATCTATAATATTTCCTAAGAATGAATTCCTAGATGTAGAATTACTAGGTCAAAAGGTGGATATATCTTTCAGGGTTTTGCTATGCATGGCCAGCTCTCACTCTAGAAGGGTCATCAGAGTTACCAGTAATGGATGAAAATATCATTTCTCTGAGTTCTTTATGAAATTAGATACTATCAGCTTTTTTTTTAGGTTCACCAATTTGAGAGATGAAAATGACATCCAATGTTTTTTTTTTGTTCATTTGACCTTTTTGTTACAATTGAGGTCAAACTTTTTCTCTACCTATTTATTAGCTATTTGTATTTCATTTTTCATAATCGTCAGCTCATGTTCTTTGCTCATTTTTCTATTAGGTTAGTAATATGTTTTCTTATTGACTTGCAAAAACTTTTAAAATATAAATTTGGACATTTTGTTGCAATATTTTTAGCAGTTTAATTTTTTCATGTATTTTTCTTAATGGTGTTTTGGACACAATGTCATTTCTATTAGTATCTTCATCTGTCTGTTTATATATTTGAATATCACAACCATTAAATTTTTGGATATAATTTAAGAGTCAGCCTAGATGATTCTTGGGGTTCTAGACATAGCAAGATTAATACTTAAACTGAATATGGAGGAAAATTCTAGTAGAACTGAGCTAATAATTAAAGGAATAGCACTGTAGGTGTAATTCATTGAACATTTTATCTGCCGTAATGTCTGAAATATGAAGGTATCAACATCAGTCATTCCACAAGTAGTGTGTGCCCTGACATTTAATTTCCAAGCCCTTTCTCCTGACTCCTGGGAAGGCTGAAAAGTGAGAGGGTGGTTTGTTGGTATTGACTTAGGCTTCAGACTGCTGAGAACAATGAAACAATCTCTAGTTATCTCTTTTGGGCTCCAAATGTACATGATTCAAAGAGAGCCTTTATTAGTAACAGGTAAGTTGAAGCCCATGCATTGTTTATTCATAAGCACTATCAGAAAGCCTGCGGTAAAATTGTTGTCTGATGATATTTTTTCAGAGAATTAGCGCCAATTTGCAGAACCCATTCAGTCCCAGCATGAAATGTAATAAAACAACCTGTTAACTCTTCTCTGAGCTTCTCTGTGGGTTAGTGTCATCAGTCACAGATTGCAAGCTCCTTCATATTGGAGGTTTTCTTAGAAATATGCTTTTCCGGCTGGGCGCGGTGGCTCAAGCCTGTAATCCCAGCACTGTGGGAGGCCGAGGCGGATGGATCACGAGGTCAAGAGATCGAGACCATCCTGGTCAACATGGTGAAACCCCGTCTCTACTAATAATACAAAAAATTAGCTGGGCATGGTGGCGCGTGCCTGTATCCCGGCTACTCGGGAAGCTGAGGCAGGAGAATTGCCTGAACCCGGGAGGCGGAGGTTGCGATGAGCCGAGATCACGCCATTGCACTCCAGCCTGGGTAACAAGAGCGAAACTCCGTCTCAAAAAAAAAAAAAAAAAAAAAGAAATATGCTTTTCTGCAGTATGGTTTCCACTGAATGCCTATCGCTTTCACACCAGTGTGAAATCAAAAAATTGTAACTTGAACCACTGGAAGTCTGGGACTATCTGTATTTTATCCCATTTATGTTTACTACTCAGTACTTATCTCCAGGATTTCTGTTATTTTTCTTGATAGAAATGTTTATAAAAGAACATATGTTTTAAGATAATTCTATAGGTAATTCATCAAAGATGATAAGCAGGGACAAAGACAAAAAGTAGCCTTTTTTTTTTTTACATGTCTCTATTATTAAACACAATTACAGGCATACGCATTTTTAGACTGCATTCTAGCCTGGGAAATAAAGCAACACCCATGTTCTCTCTCCCTCTTCCTCTTTCTTCCTCTTCTTTATTCTTTTTATTTTTTTTAATTTTTTTTCTTTTATTCTTTCTCCTTCCTTCCTTCCTTCCTTCCTTCCTTCCTTCCTTCCTTCCTTTCCTTCTTTCTTTCTTTCTCTTTCTTTCTTTCTTTCTTTTCTTTCTTTTCTTTCTTTCTTTCTTTCTTTCTTCTTTCTTTCTTCTAAAAAAAAAAACAAATACCTACCCAATGTAGAAAGAGTAAACATCATGTGCTAGCTGGGCCAGCAGTGAACAATATTTTTATCACTTAGTGATGTAAACACAGCTTGCTAATCTACATTAAAAATGATATGATTCTATTGTGATACTTCTATAAAAAAAAAAGAAATATGCTTTTCTGGAACATCTGCAAACAGTACATCTTGGGAATGTGTTACAGATGTTTTCCTGACTGCAGAAGTTGTTTTTGCCAGGCGCAGTGGCTCACACCTATAATCCCAGCACTTTGGGAGGTCAGGGAGCACAGATCACCTGAAGACAGGAGTTTGAGACCAGCCTGGCCAACATGGTGAAACCCCGTGTCTACTACAAATACAAAAATTAGCCTGGTGTGGTGGCACACGCCTGTAATCCCAGCTACTTGGGAGGCTGAGGCACAAGAATCACTTGAACCTGGGAGGTAGAGGTTGCAGTGAGCTGAGATCACACCACTGCATTCCAGCCTGGGCGAGAGAATGAGAGTCCATCTCAAAAAGAAGTTGTTTTCGACTAAAAATCTATGACCTATTCTTGTCTATCCTTGTCTGAGGCTACTTTTGTCTTTGTCCCTGCTTATCATCTTTGATGAATTATCTATAGAATTATCTTAAAAGATATGTTCTTTTATAAACATTTCTATCAAAAAAGTAACAGAAATCCTGGAGATAAGTACTGAGTAGTAAACATAAATGGGATAAAATACAGATAGTCCCAGACTTCCAGTGGTTCAAGTTACAATTTTTTGATTTCACACTGGTGTGAAAGTGATAGGCATTCAGTGGAAACCATACTGCAAATACCCATACGGCAATTATATCTTTCATTTTTAGTATAGTATCCAACAAATTACATGTGAAAATCAACATTTTATAATAAAATAGGCTTTGTCTTACCCATCCGTAGGCTAATTAATGTAAGTGTTCTGAGCAGTTTAAGGTAGACAAAACTAAACTATGATGTTCAGAAGGTTAGGTGTGTTAAATACATTTCCAGCTTACAGTTTTTTCAACTTGTGGTGGGTGTATTGGATGTAACTCCTTCATAAAGTCAAGGAGCATCTGTATACAAAGTAAATTAAACTAGCAATACAGCGTGCTCACCACATCACTTACCTCACCATGGAAAAGAGGGCTCAGTGTAGAACAGTTAGCAATGGTGGTATTCTTATCAAGCATACAAGGACTCATTGGAAAGGTGTTCATGGTAGATTCCAGAAGCAGGTACAGTGCAGTGGTCCTTGTAGGCAATTGGGGGGGGGGGCATTGATTGTAACCAGCGTTGGCCTGGGCTTCAAAGGCAGGACCCTATGCCTTCCCCTTAGTCTGCAGAAATGGGGATACTGAGCAGGTCATCCCAACAGAGTTATCACAGTGGAGTGAAATTCAGGGAGTAGTTTCTAGAAACAGAGGAAAAGCCCCTGGTCACTAGAACTGTACCACAGAAAGGTCCTGGCTGCAAGGCTAACTTGACACCAAGTTCTTTGGCCAAGGGGACTAGAACTCCTTAAATTCCCCTAATCAGCTGTTCCAGCCCCTAGGGCAGGCCATGGGCCTAGGAGGTCAGCCAGTCCTAGGGAGAGCAGAAGGCAAGAACTCTGCAGGGATGTCAGGACTAAAGGCAGTTGCCTTGAAGTGTCTGAAACACCAAACATGCAAGGCCAGACCATCCATGCTCTGCTTTAGTGATTCTCCCTGTCAGCGTGTCTTCATCTTCTTTCATGTTAACAAGGAAGGTTATTTTTCCCACCTTGTTCACTGGGTAGTTGTGTTGTTACCCCTTCACTCTTGGACTAAAGATGACCTGTGAACATTTGTCCAGTTCTGCTCTTCATGTTAATTTTAAACTCTCATGTGCATTTCCCACAGTTGGGTTGGGCACTACCTAGTATTTACTGTCATTATCAGATAGCAGTTGGTCACCACCACCACTGAGGTTTCCCCTCCAGCTACCTAAGGAAATCGCCACTTGTCAATAGGAAATGAAAGAAATGTACACTCTGGCAGCAGGATAATGTGATCAGTGGTTATCTACTAAAAGTTTAACTCTTGTTACGAGCATATTTTTATTTCTTGGGGGAAAGTACTGACCTGAAAATCAAGAGACATGGCTACTACAAACCCAGGTCCTGTGAATTGCCCCTTTTTCTCCACCTCTAAAGTTGGCTCTGATAAAAACCTGTGTCCTCATCCTTGCTCAGGACACATGATGTATATAAGTAAGACAATGCCTTTGAAAAAAGATAAGCAATGTGGTGGGTGAGTTCCCCCAGATCCCCAGCCAACTTAGAGGCAAAGTGCAGACCATGTTAGTACTTGATTGAAGATTGGGATTTAGAATAAGGCAGTTATCTTTTTGCCCAATGCATCCTCTTCAGTTACAAATTTTTCTGCAATCTTCTTGTTTAGGGGAAGTGTATGGGTCATTTTTAGGAGGATATGGGTATTACAAGGTCACATCTTTCCAGATCTCTTTCCCGGTTCAGAGTAGTTCTGTCTGACATGCCTAGAAAATAGGATTCGTGTAATGACAGAATAAATTTTTCCTTCAGAAAGGAGGTCTGAGGCTCTGCCATTTGTATGTATCAAAGGGAGGATAAACCTGCCCAGATTAACAGAGGTAGTCACATTTCATATACATACTTCACAAGCAGAAAAACATTTCTGCATTATATAAGATTCAGCCCTCAAAAAGTGTATTCTTGTGAGGGTAACTTGCAAAGAATTAGATTATAGTAGAAAATAACCAGGTGTTGTTTATCTTGACATCTTAATTTTATTTAAATGTAGGAAACAAATTAAATCCTAAGTAAAGCTTAACTTAAAATTATATTTGAAGGCTATGTCTTTGAGAACAAGGGAAATGTGGCTACAGTTTTTTATTTCTTTGTGCTTTTTTTTTTTTAAATACTGTAGGCAACAGCATTATTGAGAAAAGCCCTTACAGAAGAGTGTGGCCATAGGTCAACTATTCACAGTAGTGAATCATCTTGCAGCTTGTCATCTATTCTGAATAGCAATAGTGGAGTAAAGGAACCCAAACCTGCTGTATGGCTCAACAGTGTTCCTACAAGGGAACAAGGTAACTATTGTTAAAGTGTGTGTCCACAGCAAAAAGGCATTCAGGATCATCATCTTTCTCAAGGTATACCTATAGACTATCACTGACTAGAGAATACCTCTGATTTTAATATGCATAATATGTTATTTGTTTTATACCACCTTCCAATAAATACGTATGTTCTCCTTTAGTCTAACAAGAATGGGAAATCTAACTGTAACTCTGTAGGTCTGGTGAATTTCTAATAAAATAAGTATGAAGAAATTAGGAAATCTTAACAAAACTAATCACTTGGCAGTAGATAATTTTTTTCCCACAAAGATGAAGATGATTCCATAAAATACTGTGAAGTTTTAGATATCACTTAGTAGAATTTACTCATAATTGTAAACATACCTTTTAGTTATAATAGAACCTTTTCAGTGTCCGAACAGTTGATTAAGAATCAATGAATTTATGCCCCCAAAATTTAATAACCAATTTTGAGTACCCAGAAACTGTGATTATTTTAGCATTACTGCTAAGACATGCCATTTAACTGCTTTAATGGTTTTCCAAGACAGCTATGAATTCCTCAGGAATTGCTCGAGTTGATGTACAAGTGCAGGATGTGAGACTCACTTATTTTTATGTCTCACCCAAATTTGATAGATGTCAGGGCAAATTATTTTGCATGAAAGCAACATAGAGGCCGGGCGCGGTGGCTCAAGCCTGTAATCCCAGCACTTTGGGAGGCCGAGGCGGGTGGATCACGAGGTCAAGAGATCGAGACCATCCTGGTCAACATGGTGAAACCCC